GGAGGTTATATGCCTCGGGGAACACCTCCCTTGGCAATGTGTTCCAGAGCCTCGCTGTTCGTTGGATGAACGAGTCTTTGGAAAGAGATGTTCTGCAGGTCTCCAAAGTGATCCCGTAGTTACTACCTATTTCATCAGAATAGCTACCATAAATTTTCTTTTTATGTTGCCTATTTGTGAGATAATTTGTTAGCCATTTGAGTACTGTGCCTTTTATTCCGTATGCCTCACATTTCAATAACAATTTTGTCCTATCTATAGTTTCGAACGCTCTTTTTAAGTCTACAAATACACTAACTACAGTTTTGCCATCATCAATGTCCTTTTTCCAATAATTATTACACATTAATTGGCACGATGGCCCAATAGAATGATAATGCCGGAACCCGGATTGACAAGCAAACTACAGATTATTCTCATTTCGATATTCCACACATTGCTCATGCACTAAAATTTCCATTATTTTCTCAATTACTGGAAGTAAATTTATGGGTCCCAACTTTTCCGGCTTACTTGGTTTATTTATCTTTGGTACAGGCAGATATGGTACAGGCAGAGATAAGTTAGTAACTTATCTCTGGTACAGGTATTATTGTGCTGCACTCCAAGACTGTTGCCAGATTGCAAGCACCTATTTATGATATACAGTAGACCAGTAGAGGATACTCCACCACTAAAAAATATTTTTCAATAATGACACTATCAGCACATCATCACCCGTTTATTTATTTCTCAAATTATTCACTATTTTCTGTAATTTATTGAGAGAAACAACAGGGAACGTGTCAATACTAGGATTCACATTAATTTTCCTAAAATTTGCTAGGATCAGGTATGCTTTCAAAAATTTCCTTCATACTATCATAATAAATCTTATTTAATTCTTCCTTGACACTTTCTGTACCTAGTTCCAACGAAATGAAGTCGAAGTTAGTGTTTTTATTATTTAATATTTGCTTCAGTGTATGCCACATTTCTTTACTATCATTTTTACATTGGCTAGCGTAGCCTCGTGGTTGAAGCGTCATTAGTCTATCCCCGATGGATTGCAGGTAGGTGTGTTCGATTCCCACCACGAGCGCAGAAATTTTTATGATGGTCTTAGAAAGTGTTTGAGATCACACGTTAAAAGGTAAGACCCCCGTCATTCCGTACTCGCACAAGTCTCTCGAAGACTTCTGAGGGTTGCTCGTAAGGGGGCAACCGAATAATGGATAAGAACTATATTAGAACAACAATCAATAGATCATTCGTAAAATTCTTTTTATTTAACCCTGATTGAAGATAGAACTTGATTCCTTTTATTTCTATACCTTTCGAAATCTAATGGATTGTTTGAATAGTGAAACGTTTTGTAACACTTATCTCTCTCTTTCTGCAAAGTTCTGACTTCATTGTCGATCCACTCACTTGAGTTAAAGAACTTTTTTGCATGAATTGGGGCTACTTTATCTTAATTTGATTCAAGATTGGTTATGAAGTTATTGTATAAGACGTCAACATTAGTGGAGGTATAGTCCCAATTTTTTTGAATCAAGTCAATAACAATGTCGTTTTTTTTTTTCGGATGAATCTCGAGTAGGTTATGTTGCTGCTGTTTTTTTGGCGAATATTAATTTCGGTTTCTATAATGTCATGATCAGTGAACTTTAGAAAGTCCCGTTTAACTTCTTGAAACTTGTTATTAGTTATGATCATATCTAGTAATGTACTGGAATCACGAGTGACTCTAGTTGGTTGTTTAACAATTTGTAGAAATCCAGATGAGTGTGCTATATCCATGAGCCTTATTCTGCTTGGATTTACAGATGAGAGGTCAATGTTGAAATCACCCATTATTATAACGTCATTTGTGTTGTGATTATACAGGGTGATCCACTGTGGATGGCCTATTAGAAGTATCTGGAGAACGAGAAGACAACACATTCTGAAAATTGAGATGCTTTGATAATTGAACATTCTCTATCCGTCTAAAATATATTCATCGATACAGTGTTGCCACTTCTATCAGAAACAACTAGCAACTTTGTTATTTCAAATGGAACACCCTGTATTTTTTTCGTTTCTAGATTTTTCTTGAAGAGATGATTTCATCAATGCATCACACTTGGGGTCTAGCAGGGATTATTACAGTGATATAGGGTGTTCAAAATCGAGATTTTTCAATTTCAGGAATTTTTTGTGTCGAAACTATTCATTATTGATCAAAACGGCTTACATGTCCCTATCTTAACTTTTGATTCACTATCTACTGACATTTAATTGGAACAGATACAGGGTGATCAAAATTCTGAATCTTGGACCACCCTGTATTTTTTCCAATTAAATTCCAGTAGATAGTGAATCAAAAGTTAAGATAAGGACATGTGTGCCGTTTTGATCGATAATTAATAGTTTCGACACAAAAAAATCCTAAAATTGAAAAATTTCTATTTTGAACACCCTATATCTCTGTAATCATTCCTGCTCGACCCCAAGTGTGATGCATTGATAAAATCAGCTCTTCAGGAAGAATCTGAAAATGCAATGCAATACAGGGTGTTCCATTTGAAATAACAATGTTGTTTCTGATAGAAGTGGCAACACTGTATCGATGAAAATATTTTAGGCGGATAGAGAATATTCAATTATCAAAGGATCCCAATTTTCACAATGTTCTGTCTCTTCGTTCTCCAGGTACTTCTAATACGCCATCCACCGTGGATCACCCTGTATATACCTTTGACGACTATTATTCTGGACAACAGCATATGTACCAAAGATCAGTGTAATTGTATTTATTCAACTAAGTCGATTTACAATTGACATTATCCTAGTTTGATATATTGACAACTACTCAATTCATATCTATAAAAATATAGACCACATATAAGGTGCTCATTAATATGATTGCATAAGGATGATGATTCATTCTCCAACATTCCCCCTCAATCATAATCTCACAATGATGATCCCAGTTCTCCCGCAAATTTGTAATGTTCCAGTCAGCACAATCTTTTGGTGAATATATCCGCGATCATTTCTTCAGTAGGAATATAATCTACATTGACTATATGCGCCATATATTCAGCCTCGGTCGACGAAAGTGCAATAGTTGACTGTTTCTCACTCTCCCAAGTAACAGCACCATTTGATAATTTAAAAACAACACCTGTATAGGATTTTCTATCAATTTCATTACTTGCCCAGTCTGCATCCACGTAACCAACAATATCGATATTTGTAGGTTCATAACAAATACAACAATGTATGGTTCCTTTCAAATATCGCAGAACTCGTTTGGCATATTTCCAATGCTCCTCTGTATAACAGTTGTTGAATTGAACTAAAACACTGCAAACATGAGCTATTTCAAGACGAGTGTTTAATGCAATGTACATAAGATTCTTATATGGTATATCTGGTAAATTCTCATCCTCATTATCTGTAGAAAAATGTAACTTCAAATTCGATTCCATCGGAGTTGAGATTGTTTTTGCATCTGTCATTCCAAAGATATTCCTGATATACCGTTCTTGATCTATCATTAAGTACTTGTCCATTTTCTAGTCTTATCGAGAGTCTTATTCTAATTCCTAGGATTTCTCTTGCTTCTCCTAGATCCTTCATCTTGAATCGATACTCCAACTTTTTCTTGAGATTATTCTTCTCGTCTTTGTTGTTGGAAAGTATCAAAAAATCGTCTACATAAAGAGCCGGCCAGAGTAGCCTCGTGGTTAGAGCGTCAATGTTCTATCTACGTTGGATTACCGGTAATGGGTTCGATTCCCACCACGACCGCGGAAATTTTTCTGATGGCCTAAGAAAGTGTTTGGGATCATACGTTAAAAGGTAAGACTCCCGCCATTCCTTGGTCGCACAAGTCTCTTGAAGACTTCTGAGGGTTGCTCGTAAGGGGGCAACCGAATGATGGATAAGAACAGCAAAAAAGCAACTATAGTTATTTTCCTCCTATCAAACTTGAAATAAAAACAAGGTTCATTCTCAGATTTTTTGAAACCAACTTCAGCAAGTACAGCATTCACCTTCAAATTCCAAGATCTTGACGCCTGCTTCTATCAATAGATTCCTTTATAAAGACGACATACTTTATCTTCTTGTCCTTTCCCAACATATCCCTCAGGTTGACTAATATAAACTCCCTCTTCCAAGTCTCCGTTCAAAAATGCAGTGCAAACCTCAAAATGGAACACTTCCAAACTATATTCCGCTGCTACAGCAAAAAGAAGACGTATATTAGATCTTCCCATTGAAATTACTCAGCACTAGCTACAGTTTCTTTGAACGTCTCAGGCTCTCTTGCAAGAACAGTTTTTCAACATACAGTATTATATAGCACAAAATCAGGAAATTGCGTCATACGTCGATCTCTCTTGGAATATCTTCGATTTTCTTCTTCAGATACTGATTCTATGGTGGATTTGTCCAATATAGATTCTTCACTCTCTCTCACGTCATCTAGCAGATCACCAGCTTCTTCTGATTCGCTCATACTTTCAATTTGATTCAGAACTTCTGCCTCAGAAATTTCTTCAGAATCACTACGTATGTGCCATCCATTCATAGAGTATTCGACTGTAGAACTCACGTCAGAAAATGTATTCTCTATGGAAACAACATCACGAGCTCTTGTTATTTTCTTTGGATGATCTGGATCAAAAAGTCGATATCCCATTGAAGGTATAAACTAGAAGATAGACAGAATGGGATATTTCACACTTTTTAATAAACAATAAATTGATTTCATTATAACCTTAACCTCTTTGAACAGGTGGACGGCTTGATGTGATTCCCTTCTTTTGTCCAAAACATGACAACTGGATCACTGATACAGAAATTTAGTTTCATCACATTCAGTTTCATTTTGATCAGTTCAGTCAAAGGGTTCAGTAGGAATCAATAGCACATCTGATGTTTTTAGAAGCTACATTGCTATTTCATAGTCATTTGTGTGTATTTCAAAGGTTTTTGAAGAATCCCTTTCTCTGAATTGATTTCAGATATGCAGAAATGGACCCAACTACAGCAGCTCTAGAAAAAGAACATGAACAAATCACTAAAGTCAAATACATAGACAAGATTCAAATAGGTAGATTTGAAATTGATACATGGTACTTCAGTCCCTACCCAGAAGATTATGGAAGACAGAGTAAATTATGGATTTGTGAATATTGTTTAAAATATATGAGATTGGAGAAAAGTTATAGATATCATATGGTGAGTTAAGAGAGTACCAATGGACTGTGTTGAACAAAAGGATCCTTTATAAAACTCCTCCGATAATAACTCCAAAATATTCTGTCTAGAAGACTAAATTGAATACATTCTAAACTGCTCAACACATGAAGCGTAACATCGCATTTTTTGGATCAAATTTGAATCATCATTACTTTCGATTTCCTTAACCGATTTTCAATTATTTTTCAGTTTCTGAAAGCTCCTTCCATTGACTACCGAACCCAGGGATATACCTATTCAATCTTTTCTGGATGAGATTCTACAGGATGATAATCAAAGCTGTGCATTTTTCCAAAAATTTCAAACGCTTCCCGTTCGAAAGAAAAAATTTTCTATTGTTTTTTGGGGTCAAAAACATATTGCTTCATATGTTTTCTCGATACTGTGAAAAAATTTTCTGGAATTGTCACACGTTACTGCAATATGAATGTTTTATTAAGATAATGCATACTTTGATGCTCTAATTTCTATTGGCTTGGTGTTTCTGTCAATCTGGTTCAAACGATGGTCACAAATCTTGAAATGATGCATGATCAACCTATTCTTATATACAGGGTGGTCCTCAAACAATAATTATGACTTCTGACAGGCAAGAAGATTTCGAAGCAGGAAACCGATTGAGAAGTTTTCTGGCGACCAAAGCATGTAGGAGAGGTTGTCATCACCATGTCAAGTTGCTACAGAATCAATTGCAAGATCAAACCACTGGAATTGTTAGAAAAACCGGATTTTCAGAGCGTCGTTCTCACTTTGTGATAGATTTATAGAAGATAATTTCATGGAAAATGAGATAGACTGAAGAAATATACAGAATTTCGTCTAAATAAAAAAAGTTGCTGCCGAGACATACCATGCAACTGACAGAATTCATCACAATGGCAGTAGATTAACGAGAATCAGGATGTGATTTAGTTTGCGGTGAACGTCTTCACGAAGGACTTATATTGAATATTTGTCGAAATTCTTTTTCATATTGAATTCCATCACAGTCACAGTGTTCAAATTCTATGATTTTTCATCAATAACACCAGTTCAAATCAGATTCTGTAGCAACTTGACATGGTGATGACAACCTCTCCTACCCGCTTTACTCGCCAGAAAACTTCTCAATCGGTTTCCTTCGAAATTTTCTTGCTGGTCAAAACAAGATTTTTTTTTATTACTCAATGTCATAATTGTTGTTTGAGGACCACTCTGTATATAAGAATAGGTTGATCATGCATCATTTCAAGATTGTTGACCACCGTTCGAACCAGATTGATAGGAATACAAAGCCAATAGAAATTAGAGCATCAAATTATGCATGCAATAAACCATTCATATTTGCATGCAATAAAACATCCATATTTCAGTATGACGATTCCCAAAATTTTTTTACAGTATCGAGAAAACATATGAAGCAGTATGTTTTTGACCCAAAAAAAAAAAATAGACAAATTTTTCTTTCAAACGCCTCCCGTTTGAAATGTTTGGAAAAATGCACAGCTTTGATTATCCTCCTGTAGAATCTCATCCGGAAAACATGAGATAGTCATATCCATAGGTTTGATAGTTATCAAAACGAGTTTTCAGAAACTGAAAAATAATCGAAAATCGGTTGAAGATATCGAAAGTTATGATGATTCAAATTTGATCGAAAAAATGCGATTTTACGTTTTATGTGTTGGACAGTTTAGTTTATACAACCTCCAGTAGGTCTCACTGAGGAGTTACAGGATATTGAATATACTTCACTATATCTAATAGAGGCTGACTGACAAAAAAAGCACCAAGTCATTGCGCCACTATTAATTGTCCGATTTTGAAAAATAAAACAGCAAATGAAATGACTCATCAGATACAATGAGTAGGCTCTGATAGAGACTCTGATCATTATTGTTTCAAAGTTCAACGACTGTCAACTTTTTTTTAACGGATCTCTACAGGATGGGGCAATAGTGCTCTCGTTCTATGATTGCTAGAAAGGTGATTGAAAAACGAAAATGTATGAGACAATAAGGTCCATAACTATAAATTATTGGCACATACACAAGGCGCACCGGAAAAAAAATTAGAGAGTTTAGGTCATTTTTTTAAATGAAATGCCCTGTATATCAGCACACTTTTCAAAGCATCCCTGTGACCTCCATCCACATCAAAGTTATACATTTTTTTGCCGAAATCATGTCATCTGCAGATGCATACAGAAAAATTACTGTCATCACAGTGGGTGTAAATTGTGTGTTCAACACAATGATAACCAGTTTGAACACATCATTTTCATTTCAAAACACACTGTAAAATCACATGCGTTCCAAGAGATTGAAAAAATCCAATGATATAAGGATATCTCGAAATTTTATAAAAATATATATTTCTTCTCAACTAATTTTGTCAAGAAGTGAACTTGTCACTTGTCATATTATATCATAGCATGCAAAAAAAAACTCGAAATGACAAAAAAATGAAAAATAGATGGTGGCATACAAAGAATTCAAAAAAGAATATATATGTCTGAAGCTTTTCATGTCATCCATGTATCATATTATAACATATCAATTATTTTAATAGCTCATTCACTCCAACAAGGTTCAGCTCAACCTCTTGGGATTACTAGAATAATCATTATACCTATAACTACAGTTTACATGTTTTTTTAATGTTCCCTGTTATAAACATATTTGTCAATTGTTTCTTGGGAATGATGAAGATGATTTGCAGAAAAAAAGTTGACAGTTGCTGACGTTTCAGTTGGAATATGAAAAAAATTATGATCAGAGCCTTCTCATTGTATCTGAAAATCTGAAAATCGGATTATCAATAGCGGCGCATTGGCTTGGAGCGTTTTTTGTCAGTCAGCCTAGCCTGCATATTATGTATGAACTTTTCCATTCTGAACCATAGTTTTATCTTTCACAATTATTGTGGCTCAGCAGGTCTGCTGTGAATTTGGGTGAATATTTTTTGTCATACACTTTTGAGAATCTCAATCCCAGGTAGTTTATCTACGAGCCCTATGTACTGGCTTGAATCCACTCGTTTATGAATATTTTTGTTTACGATTTTGCGATTCTACAAGAGTTTACTTAACAATAAAGTGTGTTTGAGAGGCGCAGTTTGTCATGTTTCAAAGAAAAAAATCAAAAATCGTGAAAATATGGAGGTTTTGTTAATGAATGTGTTTTTGCTGTTTTAGAAATTTGAATAGTATTAGATATCTTTTGCATTGACTCGGCTGTTAATTTATGGAAATTTATAGAGGATGTGAAAACTCCATAAACAATAAGATTTCCACAAAATTCTTGAAAACACATGTTTTGCTAACACAGTAGTTCCCTAATCTACACATGAAGATGCTCCTGTGTTAGCGAAATATGACGTGTTTTTAGGAAATTATATCATTTGTGAAATTTTCACATTTTGGATATCCTTGCTTCAATGATACATAAAATATTGTTCATACACTCATTGGGATTGAATGTGGCGAACCTGGACAGGTCTGTTTATCTAAATTTAGTTCCACATTGGTCATAAAAGTTGCATGTTTGAATGTAGTAATTCAGTGAACAAAAGTGATAATTTTTTCAGCAACTATATAAAAACATCCTACATTGGATCACTAACCAAAAAGATTTTATATCGTCTTGGCACCTTGAGATATTTTGAAGATTCTGATGGCTACTTTCTTCATTTTACATCTCCACTTCAATCAAACTGTTGCTGTATCTTTGATCCTTTCCGAGACTAGCCGAGACTCATGTAGTTAGAAACTACTAGCGTTTTCCGTTTGACTCAAGGGCGCGCCAGCTATGGCGAATGTAGGCAAAAACCACGGGCGGCAAAATCCAATGTCGGCAATTCGGCTGAATAAACCGTACTAACATTTCCAAATACTGCCGTGGCAAAACGATTTTGTTAACGCTACCAGTATCAGTAGCATCCAGAGGAAGATATTTTTCAAAATTAAAATAAATTAAAACTTTTATTCACGACTAATATATTATACTTGTGGTTTTTGAAGTATAATGCCATATATTAATCCCGCAGGGAATAAAGACTATTAATCCCTCGCCATTATTCCCTGCGGGATTAATATATGGCATTATACTTCAAAAACCACAAGTATATATATTAGTCGCAAATAAAGTAGAGTATACTACTCGCAATAATGGCTATTATTCTCTCGGAATGTTACTCCCTCGCCGCTAACGCGGCTCGGTTCGTAAAAAATCCTCGAGAATAATAGCTATCATTATTGACTCGTGGTATAATCTACTATTTTACTATTAACCATGGACTATGGCACAAGAAAGACTCAGTAAGTTGGCAATTATTGGCATCAGATGAGTTGAATAAAGATTATTCCGAAAAAAAGGAAGAAAAGTGTGCTTCCGATGAGTTATTTTGTTCTTGTTTTCTGTTATGTAACATTTTTATTGTTTTGTCAGTTTTGGTATTGTTTTTCTTTATATTATTCATTAATCCTTATATGTTTAAGACTTGTCGAAATCTTCTGAATGTTATGGAGATGAGTAGTACGGTATCATGCTGATTCAAACAGTAAACTTTTTATTTTCATTTGAGCTTTCGGAAATACTCATTTTCTTTATTTGCAAACATCAAATTATAATGATGATTTAGAATTATCGATTATACACTGTACATGTGATAAATATTTCATTTGAAAATTAGATAAGAGCAATTTTTTCAATTTTGTGTGTACCCCCTTATCTCTGATATATCAGTTACAAAATTAAACATATGTATAGGTATTAGCACGTATTTTAATTTAATTTCTGTGTACCCACCCATGTATACACTTTTACTTGAACAAGAGGTAAGGGGTGTAAAATTTTATTTTCTGCAACCGACACAAAAGTCGTCCATTTTGATACCAAAATTAGCTCTTAAATTGACGTTTCTATTACTGACACAAAAATAGGTATGTTGCTAGGAAACATATTTAGTTCCTAGGAGCTAAAGTTGAATTTTAGTTCCTAGGAGCTAAAGTTCAACTTTAGCTCCTAGGAACTAAAAAGGATGTACTGGACGTCATCAAGAATAAACAACATTGTGACGGTTGGTTATTTGGGTTGGGACGCATACCTGATTTGTTTCCGATTTCAGCAGATTTTGCATTTCATACCCATGCTGGAGATATAAATACACCTTATTATAGTTTAGTGTTGGAATTATAAACATCTCAGCTGAGTATTTTTGTTTGATCAGGAAAGCCTTCAAGATTCAAATACTTGCTTAATCTGTATTTCATTCGTTATTCTCGGGATGGATAACTTGTTTTTGAATAATCACGGCAAGCAATAGTTTTTTGTCTCAAACAACGATATTGTTTAGCTTCATTCGATTATCAAGTCAATCGCAGTGTAGAATGGAGAGGAATAAATAATCACTATTATAATTGTTGATATGCTCACTAACCTGACATTTTCCACGTCTTGTTCCTATAGCTGGCACTGGCGCGGTATTTGCTATTAGAGCACCTGGTCCATACACAAACATGTCACTCTGTGGTTGTATTTATATTGAAACTACAATTCGAACATCCTTGAAAACCTAACCTGCTGTTAATGCAGGTAGAATATTCTTACCACATGGATTATTTGTCAATATTTGTTGCATTGCATACATATGGCACGGCATTGGTGGTTACTTCACATGTTTATTTGAGTCAATTGTTTCGGTTGCAGAAAAAATAGCATGTTTCATTCGGATCAAAAGTGACTTTGTTCGACTCGCAAATTTTGCTTTCGCTCGGCTTCGCTAAACGCTCCGCCTCGCAAATGCAAAATTCGCTTGTCAAACAAAGTGTCACTTTTGATCCTAATGAAACAATCTACTATTCTGCACACAGGCGACTGCATGGCTTGGCGCGCCCCTTGACTAAAATTATGCACTAAGTGTACAATAATAATAATTTCAATTTGTGTTAATGCCAAGCAGAAAACCTCTCGGCCAATATTTGTACAGGGTGGCTGGAATTCTTGCCTTATCATTGGGATCTCGTAAATCGTAAGAGATACAGGGCCTAACAAAATGCCGTTTCGAAAATTGGAGGAAACAAACAGAAATTTCCTATAATCATTTTCATTGTTTGAATAACACCCTCATATTAGCTTAGTATGTATGTTTGTTGGTTTGTAATTTTGTTTGTTTGATTGTAACGGAATCTTCGAACGTGATTTTGACACACTTCAAAACGTTCGATTGATTTGAAATTTGGCAGGTGTATGAAATTCTGGTGACAATGCATCATGAAATTGTTATTTGTTTGTTAGACAAAAAAACAGAATGCCACCAAAATAGCGGACGTTTTGTAATTATGTTCCGATTCTATTCAAAATTGGTATCTGGAGGTTTACGGGGTCGGAGATTATGATTCTTTCGTCAAAATTGGGAAATTGAAGATGGCGGATCCAATATGGAAGACGAGTTTTGTAATAATGATCCGATTCTTTTTAAAATTTGAATCAGGGGGTTTTCGGGGTTGGAGTTTCGTGAAAATTGGATACTTCCAAAAAATATAAAAAACACGCTTTTGTAGTTTGTCGAACTGAAAATTAGAAAATAAATAGTTGAAAGAACTAAAGAAACACGCTTTATAGATAGCCAAACTAAAAAAAAGTAGAAAATGAAATAATAAAATAATGAATGTACCACCTCCTCGATTAACCTACAGACAGTATTTAATAAAAGTCTGCTGATGAATACACAACATAGAATATAGGTACTGATTACGGAGGTGCTGATATTTTGTATGTTGTGTATTTATCAACACACTTTTATTATTTCATTTTCTACTTCTTTTTAGTTTGACTATCTATGAAAGCGCGTTTCTTTAGTTTTTTAAACTACTAGACCGTTGGCCCATAACACTAGGGGTGTCGATTATCTACGAAGGTATGCCCTTCAATAGACATGAAGATTGAGTTGGATTATCAGGAAAAAAGTGGTTAGTTGGATCGGTACCCGGTCGCCCATCTCCCTAATCAATCAACTTCCTGTTGAAAGTAATGTTGAAAATTGTATTATAGAAGAAGCTTTAAAATTCATTGGAATAGTCGCATCTCGCCAAATTAACCGGGCGCTAGCCGATTTGCATACGTCTAGGTCGGTCCCGAAGGGCGGCATACGGACCGCAAGTTACCGTTAACCGACATTTCTCTTAGATTATTTACGATGGTATGCCCTCTGGTTAATTCCTTCATTTCGACCCATGAATCAATGCCATAACATTTGCATACAGTTTGGGTGGGCGAATTTAGACATATTCGAAGGTCACTTTACATCATCGATTATATATATCAAGATTATATAATTTTGTATGCCATTCAATCAGGTGATAGATTCAGTTATACTGAATAAGAAAATAGCGTTTGCATACGAATGTATTGTGAGCATACGTCGATTTTGCTATAGGGAGTCTATTTTTTTCAGTTTTTCTAATATTAAAAAGTTGAAACTGGAAATTCCAGGATGATCGAGTGCCAAGGGCTCTCAGGGAGGTTTCGGGGTCACTAAGCTCGAATCTGGCACCTACTACTAGTGCCGGGGGCCGAGGATGATAGAGGATGACTCTAGGGGGGATGTCAGGGGGCGCATCTCATTTGCAGAACCGGCAGATAGTCTTGTTGGATTCTATGAATCTGATCCTCTTGGAGTTACAATGGGAGTTCCTAAAGGATCAATCTTGGATCCCATGTTTTTTGTTATTTTCATGAACGATATTGTAATATTCCCCTGAGAGGGGCTCGAACATCATCAAGAAGGCGTATAACGATCTTCCTGTATCACGCGTATCAGATTGTTCCCGAGTATCCCAATAATTCTGATATATAAGGACGACAGGACAGCAGGTGGTCAGTGATTGTCAGAGAGACAGCCATATACCGCGTGATATAAATGGTTCGACATAAATAGTAGTTATATGTTTGTTATAAATGAGTGTTCGTTCCCTTTCGTGAAATAAATCAGTTCGTAAATATATGGTGGTGTTCGCTTCTGCACACAAATAACACATCCCCTAATTTACAGTTGCAACTGTGAATTAGGAGATGTTTTGAAAAAAAAAGATTCTCCTTCCTAATTTACAGTTGCAACTGTGAATTAGGAGATGAACAGTAAATTAGGCAAATATCCGTGAAAAAAAGTTTTTTTAGGATGGCAGTTCAGACGCGTCGTACAGACATAATAATTAGTTTCTTAGTGGTTTTTGAACCAAAAACTGATTTTTCGAAACTTCGACCTCGAATAACTCGAAACGGGTAAATCGGGACGAGTTTTGTGTAAGTTCTAAAGTTAGAAAGAATTTGATTGTCGATATCTTGAGCTCTTACAGGGTGTTGAACGAATTTTGCCGCCATTTTTGCTAATTTTACTGGGCTAAATGTAATCCCCGCAACTCGCAAATCGTATGCAAATCATTATTCCGTGCATAGTTTATGCTTAACTAACCTTGATCAAAATTTGGGAGCTTCGTAGATAATCTTGTACATACAAGTCAATGATGTAAAGTGACCTTCGAATAAGTCTAAATTCGCCCACCCAAACTGTATGCAAATGTTATGGCATTGATTCATGGGTCGAAATGAAGGAATTAACCAAAGGGCATACCATCGTAAATAATCTGAGAGAAATGTCGGTTAATGGTAACTTGCGGTCCGTATGCCGCCCTTCGGGACCGACCTAGACGTATGCAAATCGGCTAGCGCCCAGTTAATTTGGCGAGATGCGACTATTCCAATGAATTTTGAAGCTTCTTCTATAAAACAATTTTCAACATTACTTTCAACAGGAAGTTGATTGATTAGGGAGATGGGCGACCGGGTACCGATCCAAATAACCACTTTTTTCCCGATAATCCAACTCAATCTTCATGTCTCTTGAAGGGCATACCTTCGTAGATAATCGACACCCCTAGTGTTATGGGCCAACGGTCTATACTATTCATTCTTATCTTACGAAAACTGACAGTTTCACATTGAAATTTAAAAAAATACAGAAAATGTCAATATTTGTAAAATGAACATTCGAAAAAATAATATGTTATAGATTATAGCTTTTAGGATATCCAAAGGTATGAAAAAATGCAATTAAAAATTCTGGTCCGATTTCAATTTCGATAACGCCAACATTTCCATTGATTCCTTCAAATAACTTGAAGAAAAAATGAGAATGGTTTTGGAAATTTCGGTGATTTTCGTATATGTTTACTAGGTCCCGATGATGATGCTCGAATTCCAGCCACCCTGTATACTCAGCGTATTATCTCTATGCAATATGTCCAATTCAATCCCAATTTGACCAATTTCAAACAAATATGATCAATTCTAGTCCAAATACGACCAATATCTGTCAGATTTGGCCAAATCCAGTCAAACAAGTCCATTCTTGGTCAATTCCGTCCATTCCAGGTCCAATAATATGTCAATATTGGTCCATTTTGGCAAAAGTATTGCCAATGAATATTTCTATTATGCATCAATCTAAAGCACTATATCCTATATGAAGCAGTCTATCCAATTCCGACCAATCTTGACCAATTCCGATCATGTATGTCCAGTTTATATCCGACAAATTAGTTTCAGTTCTGTCCAATATCAACAAATGCAATCTATGTGTACGTTATTTGGACGACTAATCTACCCTTCTGTTGATACACAAAATGAAATAATGACCTTTTTAAATTACAAATAAACTAAAACGAAAAACGTTGAGTACAGAAAAAGTTTGTACCAGTGCGACGACTAGAAAACCCTTTTTGTAGTGCCAACACAATATGGTACATCTGATCTGCACATCAATTTTAGAATATTACATGATTACAAAATTGTCAATGTTGAATTATTTCTAGAGTGAATGTACACAACGTCAACCCGTGGGAAAAGAAATATATCGAAAAGGAACTCTATCAGTATATGAAGTAGATGGGAAAGATCACAAAGTGTACTGCCAAAACTTGTGTTTACTCGCAAAATTATTTTTAGATCATAAAACTCTGTATTTTGATGTGGAACCATTCCTCTTCTATATTCTTTGTGAAGTGGATAAACAGGGGGCCCACATTGTAGGATACTTCTCCAAAGTAAGTAATACTAGCAATTATATTGATATTTCTTGTAAGGAAAACCGTTTTAGAATGATAAGGCTTTAATCGGCTTTTATCAACTTGACAGTGACATAAATAATGATAATACAGAGTATTCTAGTTGAGAATATTACATCATTCTTTCCCTCTAGGACCAGACGAATTCCTTCAAATACCTCGGCGGTTTCTTGTTTCGAATTGGACGAATTGATGGCCCGGAGTCTCTAGGTGCCACATGTTGCCCTTCTTGTGTAGATACGGGATAATTTTCATTTCCTGATGGCATGGAGTCTATAGATTCTACATGATATCCTTCTTGTGTAGACATGGGATTATTTTCATTTCCAAACTGACTGATCTATTTTCTCAACTTCTTTCACCAGTTCACTTGATCCCCTATCTCCCTATCTGTCTCTATGTCCAATGAATAGAGAATCATTATTCATCTGTGTAGAACTTCCTTCATTAACAGTGCTTGAATGAATGGACAAAGTAACATCTCCTCGTGGTGCTTAGAGGTGAATTGAAACTGTTGTTTCGTTTTCATTAGGATAACGTACGCAGGCATAATCGGGATTTGCTTCAATTAATTCAACTTCTCTCACTGATGGCTCGCTCATATTTTGTTAGCTCTCACATGATTAAATAAATAGAAAAAACTCCAAGTGATTTCCACACAATGTTCATAAAATGAACAACAATGGTAGATTTAGGGAGAAAAACAACTACTTTTCTGGCTTATGCCACGCAGAACATTGAATTACATCCTCCCGGAATCTATGCATATACTCGTAAAACGAATACTGATACAAGTGATTCTTTCATGAATGCCTATTGATTTAGATTTAGCCAGGCCACGCTAAACAACCACAGACCGGTTTCGAACTCTTTAACTCTCATCAGTGCAGTGTAGTCTCCAGCCTGCAGTCCTAAGACCGCCGACTCAGCGTAGCCTAGCCAAACAACTCAAGTCGGCATTATATTCCCCCAGAGGCGTCTTTCATCGACAATATGAAAGCAACGCCATCTGAGTAGAACAGAAGGAAAGAATCACTCCAAAAATTCCCATACGGGAGTGGCTGGTTGCCCGACTGGCGTAATTTCAACTACGAAATAGCCACAATGCTCAGAGTGGAATGAAATGTTAAATAAATAGAAAAAGCTCAAAGTCATTTCCACACAATGTTCATAAAATGAACAACAATGTTAGATTTCGGAAGAACAACTACTTTCCGGGCTAATGCCACGCAGAACATTGAAACCTCGAATATTCATCAAAACAGTTAGAATATATTTATTATTTGATGAGGTTGGTAAGGGTCCTTCGAAATCGAGATTGAGTCTTTCTAAACTTGATGTTGTCTTTATCAGGACACCTTGATTACTGTGGAATCTTGGTTTCAATTCCGTACAAATGGGACAAGATGTAATTTTTCGAATATTTTCAGATGAATACGGTAGATTCTTAGAGCGTACCCAATGATGAATCGTTTTTCATTACTATACTATAAAAAAAATAGATATTTTTACGCAACCAGTTAGCAAACGCGTCATTTTGTGTCACGATGGGATTTTGCGTGGCGAGCGAAGCGAGCAAGATGGCGGCATGAGCGGCTATTGCTCGAGTTCGCAAACTTATGATTATAATCAAGATCACCAAGTCTACGATCTTGCAAAGTTCCATCTCTCCATAACCTTTTGTGACCTACAATCCTCTAATGACTGCACTATTACTCTAAACGAGAATTTCCATCAACTTTCACGGTTCCTGAAATAAGAAGTCTAGATTAACAGACTTGATTGAAATACTTCATAGATCTATATCTATCGAAGTCGCGATTTCTATAAATAATGGTTATTTATGTGTCAAGGGCGTGAAGTAGGCTTTTATGAACAGCAGCTATCAACACCCCTAGGTCCATGAAAGCAAGTTACGCCCGAAATACATGCAACATTTTAGACATTTTTATTTACTGTCAATATGGAATTCATTTGGCCGAATTATGTATGCCACTGGCGAAGAAAGATCGAATGGTAGTCTACTAGAAATTACTGTGAACAGTGAAATTACCAACCACCGGACCACTTTACCGCCCGCTGTACTCCCGGTCGTGCGTACCTCAGCTTTTACACATGATTATAATTAATAATTAATGAGCGATTGTATGTTTTCAATATTATATAATTATTAGTCTGAGTTTCTGACAATTATATTGTTATGGGAAATTGGAAATTAGTTGTCACATTCATGAGTTATACTCGTTACGTTCTAATCTCTTTTTGTCAATTATAGGAAAAAGAATCTCCAGAAGGTAACAATGTGGCATGTATACTAACTCTACCACCCTATCAACGCCAAGGATATGGAAAACTTCTCATAGCATTTAGTTACGAATTATCTCGACTGGAATGTACTGTTGGCAGCCCTGAACAACCTCTCAGTGACCTAGGCAAATTGAGCTATCGAAGTTATTGGAGTTGGGTTCTGTTGGAAATATTAAGAGATTTCAGAGGAACTTTGTCAATCAAAGATTTGAGGTAACTTCAACTCTTAAGGTGCATTTCCATTCAATCAAAATTTACACAAAATACATGTTTTGTATTGTGTGAAAATTTATGAATCTACTTCTATTCGAAAACAAAAACAGCTTCTATTCAATAGGGTGGTCCGGTATGTAAAATGTAAAAATTCAACAGTTTGTTGTACTCGTTGAAATAATGGAAAAAGTTCATATAAATATATAATTTTAAACGCGTCGAGATATAGGGTGTTGAAAATACGTGTCTGAATATTGTTTTTTGATGAAAAGTTCGAAACGGTTTCTCACAGATGCTAAACTTTTCACGCTCTACAAGATTAAATAAAAATTATTTCATGAAGTTAAATCGGTCCAGAGATATCCTAACATTTCCAGTTCAATAATATTTGATTGTAATCAAAATAAGAGTGCTATGCTCACTGTTTCATCTTATAGAGCGTGAGAAGTTTAGTACCCGTGATACATTTTGTTGATTTATTCCAAACCGTTTCCAAATTTTCACCAGAAAACGATATTCAGACTCGGATTTTACAACACCCTATATCTCAAAAACGACACGTTTAAAAGTAGGTATATGTTTATATGACCTTTTTTTATTATTTCAACGAGTACAACACACTGTTGAATTTTTTGTATTACAAACTGGGCCACCCTGTACAAAGAAAATTATTCAATTTCAGAATTCTTTACTTGTGAATGAGTTCATGACAATTCGAAATTATGAATAACTTGAAAGAAAATCTCTCGTCGTCGTTTCCACAAATTCAATAATGAAACGCAAATTTCTGATGAAGAAATGATATAACAATAAACATTGTATTTTATGATGATATTCCATAACATGAGAAAAAGTGACCAATCTAATACAACTCTATACGATACGACTTGCGTATTTAATTCAAATTTTCATCATTTACAAGATCAAAAATGAAGCACACATCTGGATTATTTAACGAAAAAATTTTATTCTTGGTTTTTCTGTGCTTTTTTTTATACTTTTTGTGTAATAATTTAACGTGTTTCAAATGGCTATGAAGAAGTATCAATAATGTGCCATGACGACTGTTATTTTCTTTTCTTATTATGGCCTACCAAATTTAAAAATATGTACTTTTTTTTTACTATGTTTCATGTCCATATGTTATACATTGCTGTAAAGGGATTTTCAGGCCGTATTCAATGGTATTGAATGAATATGGCGCTCATAACAGAAACAAAATGTGCATGGTAAAATATCTGAAAATGATGAAGAGATTTCTGAGAATCTCAACGTTTTTGTCATGATCAATTACCTGTTTACGAAAATGTTGAAATGTCCTCCTCAAATATAAACTGAGAAAATAAAAATAGAAACAGAATCAATTATTTTCAGTTTTCTCAATGCCTATACTCCAGAAACGGCTGCATTTTTTTCAGTTCGCAAAACGGCAAATTGAAGAGTCAGATTACGCAAATTTCCTCTAATTTGATGAACTTTCGTCTACTTTGATGAAATTTATATCTCTTACCGTTCAGGAAATAGCAATAATTTCCCTTCGAAACCGGCGGGACCCCTATAGATTGCCCCATAAAGCTGTGCCAGCATGTCAAAAATCTCGAGCCGTTCCAACGCAAAAACGATTCGAAAACTACAAGAACCGTCTAGCGCCCAAACTGAGCACGGCCTTTTGTACCGTGTTATTTATAAATGAAGACATATTATCATTATTTTTATTATTATTATAAGTAAAGTTTGCTTAAATTAAGTTGTTTTGGTCTCAGGAATATGTGGTAGGTAGGTTAATGTAAAAACCTTTTAGGGACGCCCTGTATATTGTACTTATTTATTTTACATCGAATGGGCCAAAATGTGCCCTTGATATTACCCTGGTAAAAATCTGACTCCAAATCAAAGGCATTTTACTTGAAAGAAAAAAAAGTTCGCCTACGGCGCATCCTTTTGTTTATATGATATTATATAATAAACTCTAGTAATATCTACACGTCTAAGAATTTAAGTCTACATAAAAATGATATCGAAAAATAATCTATTGAATACCACAGGAGAACTACACAAATAAGAAAATTATTCTACAGATCTTCTCTCAAACTTGTTGCCATTAGTTCTCGTGTCCTGACAACAAATTTTCAAGAATCTGTCGAATTATTCTCAATTGATTCTTACTCTTGCACAAAATTGACACTAGTAACTTCTAAGAGTGTTCTTCCCTTTGGATAATTGAAACATATCTTACATAAAACTGCGTTTTAAAATTAAATCTGTGGAACATACTCCCAAGAGTTTTTCTCTCTTGATCATATTTCTTCACTTAGCATATGGACTATGTTTGAATATTATTTCGAAAAACCATCAAGTAGGTTTTTTTCTTTGGTTGGAATCGGATGGGAAATGCCTCAATTACTGTTTGCGACGTTTTTTAAGACACCCTCTTGTATGTGTGTTCGTTTTTTTTTTTAGCCACATGACGAGCATCACACAGACAGACATCATCTCAACATTGCAAAGTATGAATATGGTGAAATATTGGAAGGGGCAACATGTGATCTGTGTAACACCGAAGTTGGTCGACGAACACATAAAATCTAGTCAGTATAAGAGGCCGAGGCTTTGCGTTGACACCAGTGCATTAAGGTGGACACCTCGAAGGCACGTTAATAATAAAATAGGAAAAAAACAAAATTAAAATTATGTTTACTGTGAAAAGTATTAAAATGTTCAAGCTTTAATAAAATAAAAATCTTTTTTATAGAAAGTCTGATTATTTAATGGTACTTGACATCATATGTAGGATGGTGCGAAATAACGCTGCCAAAATCATGATAAACGGGGAAACTTGAAATCCCCGGGGCAACTTGATGAATTCATGGGCGTAGATATGTTAACATGTACTGACATCTAACTATGAGTAGAGTGGAACCAAAATATTCACTAGGTACACTGTTGATGGTATCTACATGCGCGTAGTTTACCGGATTGAGGGGATAGATATCCAGTTTGGGTGAAAAATTTCTTCATTGAATTAGGTAGGAAACATTGATTTTTTTGTAGCGTGTATACTTTCAAATGTGTAGATGAAGATTTCGGAACGACACCACTTTTTACATTATTTCAGGGGTAACTTGAAATGATGGTCCGAAGCTATGAAAGACGACTGGGTGCCAGGAACTAAAGAAATTATGATCAGGAAACTGTCCAGACTTCAGGTCACCTTAAGTTCAAAATATAACATTATTATTATTGTTATACAGGGTGTCCCGAAATTAGCCTGTCAAACTTCACCAGCGGCTTCTTAGACGAAAAAGAGATAGAAAAGTTCCAATGAACATGAGTCAAGAAATGTCTCCTAAGGGAGCTACGGCCCCCTGAAAGGGGGCTCCTGAAGATGATATTTCCGAAACGCCACGTGATAAAATGATGCAATTCGGTACAACTAAACTCACCATGCCCAATGCGGTGATCATAAAATAATTTCAGAGTTTCATTCAGGAGTGTATAATACAGGGTGGGACTACATTAAATATTGCTCAAACTTTTTCGAATGCATATTTTTTAACAATTCAATCTCGGATTATGAAAATTCACACCATTTCACAAAAAAAGGTGCTCTTGTTCCGCATCGATCAGATGTATCATCTTCGAGAGAAATCGATTTAAAAATATTGACGCACTCATATCTTATGCATAACGTTGCCAATTTTCAAATCATAGTGGCTTCAAAGAAATCAAGTACTTTGTTTTTACCAAACAATCTCATAAAAGCGCAAAAAATAGAAAAATAATGATGAAACGACTACTTCAATTTTTGTAATTTTTTTCCATTTTCATTAGGCCTTATTGCAATGTTAGTCATGATATCTGAGATGTAACAATATTTTTAAATTGCTTTTACTCGATAATAATACATCTGATCGTCACGGAACAAGAGTACCTTTTTTCTGTAAATAGGTGTGAAATTTCATAACAGAGATTGAATTGTCGAAAAATATGCATACAAAGAATTTTGAGTAATATTTAATGTAGTCCCACCCTATATTATACACTCCTGATTGAAATTTTGAAATAATTTCATTTTCACTGCATTTGGCATGGAAATTTTAGTTCTTGTACCAAATTGCATCTTTTTATTACATGGAGTTTCGGAAATATTCAAGAAATATCATCTTCAGGAGCCCCCTTCCAGGGGGCCGTTGCTTCCTTAGAAGACATTTCTCGACTCATGTTCATTGAAAGTTTTCTTTTTATTTTTGGTACTAAAAGCCGTTGGTGAAGTTTGGTAGGCTAATTTCGGGACACCCTGTATATCAGTACGTCTATCCTATCTTGTTCAGCTGATCGCCATGCAAAGAAAGGTGCAGCGTCTTCACTCCTTGGTCCTGAGCCTTTTTGTGGGATAAGCAAATGTCACCTAAAGGAAGAACTCAGGAAATGGGAAGAAATTGAGAACAACTCCAGGTCAACGATAAGCAAAAAGGTTCATCAACCATTCGCAGAACCGAGCCAAAGAGCTACTCAGCCTCAGCAAACCAGAGCTAAAGCTTATCACAGGCTTTCTCTCAGGACACTGACCTCTGAGGTACCACCTCAAAAAGATGGGCCTGGCGGAGACTGACACTTGCCGCTTTTGCAACAATGCGGCCAAAACCGCGGAACACATACTTTGTCCTTGTACTTTGCGTGGTATATCAGTAATCTTTGAAGATAGAACCTTGCGATTTTCGCGGTCCTGTGTCACTCTTTTGTGGAACTCAAGATGGCCTTATGAAATTTTGCATAACTGTTTCCGTTTAAGAGATACAGGGCGATTTTGAAAATTTATACTTTCTGAACCCCCTTTATATCTACGAAGATTCTAAGCGAAAATGACAAATTGGAATCTCATCCCATAGAGAATTTTACGCAGAATCCAGAGGCGTACTCATTTATTTTTTGGGGTACGGTTTTGCAGATAAGTACGACACAAACTCATGATTTTTTAAATGGAACACCCTGAATTTTATAAACTCATAAATTTCTCATGCTTTCCCCTTCGAAACAATTTATAATGTATAGATTTGAAATTTTCAAAAATGCTCAGAAATCACAAAAACATTGAATTTTAATAGTGGGCTATAGATTTTCCATATAAAAGTAGTTCCAATTTGAGGAATATTTTTATCAATTTTTCCATGGAGAGAACAAAAATAATATCAACACTTATTAATAACAAAACACAAAAGTTAGGTAACTTCATAATGTAGAATAAGCACCTGATTGAATATTCACTAAAACAATTGAATTTCAAAATTATTCAGTAACTTATTTATTGAATTATTCAAATTGATGTCCATTTTCCCTAACAAACAATTGACACACTTAGGCAGTTTTCCAGAAATTACAAAGACATCCTTTAATGATTTTGAATGCATAAGACGTATTGAGAAAGTGTGTGAGGGAAAATGGATATCAATTTGAACAATTCAATGAATAAGTTACTGAATAATTTCGAAATTCAATTGTTTTAGTAAATATTTAATCAGGTGCATATTCAAAATTATGAACTTTTTATTATTATGTATTTGTTGCTATCAGGTAACTAATATTTGTTTCGTAAGTTGCTTAGTGTTGGTATTGTTTTTGTCCTCTTCATGGAAGAATCAAAGGAAATATTCCGTCAGTTAGAACTTTTTTATATGAAATATCCATCCAATCCGTTTAAAATCCAATGTTTTAGTGGTTTTGGAGCATTTTTGGAATTCTTATATTTATACATTCTATATCATTTCGAAGAGAAGAAAAATGAAATTTAATGAGCTGATGAAATTCAGGTTGTTACATTTTAAAAATCATAAGTTTGGGTCGTATCTCCAAAGCCATACCCCGAAAAAAAAAATTGGGTGACCCACTGGATTCTGCGTCAAATTCTCTATGGGTTGAGATTTTGATTTGACATTTTCGCTGAGAAATTTCGTAGATATAGAGGAGGCCCAAAAAGTATGAACTTTCAAAATCGCCCTCTATCTCAAAAACTGAAACAGATATGCGAAATCTGATTAGGCCACCTTGAGTTTCAAAAACAAATGGCACAGGACCGCGAAAACCGCAAGGTTTTATCTTCAAAGATAACTGAGATATCACGCACAAGCATCGAAAACTGGACACACTGTACAGTATTATACCGCCAAAGGCTGAATCACCTAGAGGTGGAAAATTCAACCGTCAGGAAAATTCTAGGTTTCATCAGAAGTCTAGAGTAAGAGGACCAAAACTAGATAAGGGTAATCACAATAGATCTTTTAGGTCGCAGTGATCGAGAAGTCTCAGCCTATACGACCCATCTACAATCTACAATCCTGTCTTGTTTTTCTAGAACAAAAAAATAGAAGTTTCTATTGCCAATTCTGGATGATTTTTTTTCTAACTTAATTTTCAAATCACCCTCGCAACTCGAGAAATTTGTTACAAAAACGATCATATCTCAAGTAATCCCAAAACGGGTTAACTTGAAAACTGACATTTCCCATTTTGTTTTCCAAAAACTGAGAAAAGCTGAAATTTTTTCAGATATATCAGGATCATTTCCTATCAGTAAAATTATGACTTTCCTGATATCAGACTCCTTGAAATCAAAGTAACAACTCTAGGCATAAGAAAATATCCTAAAATTGTTTTCAAGTTACCCCGTTTCACGGTAATGGAGCGAACGAAAAACTGCTCTATCTACTATCATTGAATGGAATGTAGACGTTTGCTCCCTCATGTCAATTCAATCCCACGAGAGGATAACAGGGTCAGGGTGACGAATTGACTGAAAGGGGGCAGTGTGGTGCACCAACAAAGAGTTTTCTTCGACATGGACGAATTGTACAATATAATAATATATGTATCTCATCCGCATTCAACAACATCTCGTGTCCCATCAGCATTTAACTGCCTTTGTTGAGAGTGTGAAGAAAGGCAGGAAAAATTAACATAATATCAGCAAATGAAAAACATGCATGCGACTTTTTAATTACCCCTCTATATTTGTAAGCATTATCTACACAACAAGCTGACGGATATTGTATTGTGCTCAATATTTGCTTGAAGTAAACATTCTCAGCTATTTCAGATATTCTTTCCCGATTAAAAATTTGCTCAAGACTTCTGGTCAAATATTCCAATTGAGCTTAAATAACATCGAATATTCTGTTCAAAATGTTATTTTTCAACTTATTGAGACTAGACTAAGGCTGAAGGACTTTGGTCGATGGCCAGTTGGTCACAATGTATATTATTATTGTATGAGTATATGTTATGACCAATAAAGTACATAATATTATTATTATTATATTAATTCTAGACTGATTCACATACTTAGCCCTAAAACAAATAATCGTATCTCAAGAAATCCCACAAGTCGATAAATTGACTACAACGGGACTTCTGTGTTACTTAAAAGTTTCCAGTTCCGCGGGTGACTTGAAGTTTTTTTCCATTTCTTCCTAAAGACTGAACCGGCGAAATTGAACATTCGTATTATATAACCTCTATCATCTTTTATTATCGGAATATTCCCGACCATGATTGATGACTTCGCTGTGTATCTGAAAGTTGTAATAAGTATCCCCATTCTACGGTACACAAGGACCACTTTGTATGATAGCTGGTTTTGATCAACTCTCATATATTTAACTATTTATCAATCCATAGTTGACCAATTTGAATAATTCCTGATGTGTACGTAAGTTTTGATGGATAATATCCCTAAAACGGATATCCTAGGAACGTGATTTGGACATCCCAGGGATATCGCGAAGTGGATTTCCACTGGATATCTCAACTAGTACACCTCTATGATATATATTTACATCAAAATTATTATGCGAGAACAAAATATCAGTTGTGAATCTGTATTTATGATTTTCACGCATATTTACCGCATGTCCCGTATCCAGATAATGACGTCCTTGAAATTTTCAAGGGAGTCCTTTTTGGTGGCAAGCGGATGTCCGTGGGCCGACCCTAATGTTCCGTTCTCCGACAAAGGATATATCCTAGTAAATGAGGGACGACGTCCCTGTGATGTCCAGAGGATGTTCTTGCATTGTTAGGGATTTTTGATTTTTATCAGAAACATTTCATGATCACATATAATAAATTACAATATATTACACAGTCACATCATTATCTACCTATACCTATGAATACCCCCCATTATGATAAAAATTATTAAGTGCTTACAATGTGTTCACATATTCAATAAATAATAAGCTCCTGATGATAATAATATAACTGATATTGAGCAAATCATCGATATCCAATATTTCTTAACAAAACCAATTTGTTCTTCATCTTCCATTGATCTCCGGTCCCTTTGTTTCTTTTTTCCTTCGAACATTTTCTGATACTTTTCAAGTTCTTTCTTATTCTTCAACTCCTCTTCTACCCGTCTTTGTTCTTCGGCGGCTTCTCTTATTTTGCGGTCTTCTTCTTTCTTCTTCAGGCAAATTTCATCACATTCAACAACGGCCAATTTCTTCCTGACGGATTCACAAGAAAACTCTTTACGGATTCGCTTGCACTTGCAGGTGATTTTGACTTTTTTCTTGCACAAATCTGCATTCGGGCATTCTCCTAGATGACAATTAGCCTTACATTTGTGTCCACATTCATACTGAAAAAAAAACATTTCCAGTAATAGTGGGTGAATCTCCGAATTGAATTACTCGCCAAAAGGACGATTTGAAATACAAACATGTGAATTTATCAAGGCAAACGGTATCAAAATAACCCCTCTCCTAGCAAACAATTCAGTAGTCGGTTTTATTATCATACCCTATGATTTTTTGAGTTTTTGAGGCGCTGAATCCGAATCGTGAGTTATCCAACAGAATTCTTCCTGGTGAGTTTTGAGATGCAAAACAGAAATTTTCGCACTTTTTTTTGTTATTTCCTTATAATTTCGGAGTACCTATGTATATACAAGCATGTGTGATAGAGGAAGAATAAATATTTCCTGTTTCATAGAAGACTAAATTTGCCACAATTTGAGTCTAATTGCAACACTGTGGGTCTAACAGTACCCGGGATGCGATTTTACTAAATATACTGCACGCTAGCACAAACCACGCCCACCATAATACGTCATATCTCCAAACATTACCGATTTCAGGTGCGTTCGGTTATAACATATCTGTTAGCTCGATTCCATCCGTTAGCTCGGAAAGCGTTCGATAAATCAGATCTACTTCCTCTGTCTAATCTGCTCCGTGTTCGTTAATTGTCAGAGCGAGCTGAAAGATGTAATCTGTTTGCTCCGCCTTGAGGAGCAGATCATTCAGATTTGATCGGTTATTCGGTTGTCAATTGTCAACAAATCAATGTCAACAACATGTTATTGAAATTATATCTCTTTTATGTCGAAAAATTGAAGACTCGATCCACTGGAAACGAAACACGAAACTGAATTTTGTAGAATCCTCCTTGCCCAGAATCGCCAGAATGACCGACGAATTTGCTGTAGGTAGCATATTAATTATATATCTGTAATATATGCGATCACAACTGCCCTGGATCCACAGTTAATGACCGATCATATGAGACAGAATCATTCCTTCCCTAGTAATTTTCAAAATATAAACAACAAACATTCAAAAGAACTTTGTTGCCCTGACGTGTTTTTAAAAGTAATAAGGTTAGTTTCTGTTTTCTGTTACTTCTGACAGCTGGCGCTCGCAATCTACTATTTACTACCTCGTTGAGCGTTCGTTAAATACCATTAGCTCTATCTGCTAGGTGATCACGTGACACCAAATCTGCATCTGCTCGCTCGGCTCCGATTTTGTTAAACCGAACGCACCTATACTCGGAGTCAGCACATCGCACTAAATATACTATGCTCCAATGCAAGAATACACTTTCTATGATTTTGACACGAATTCGACTGAAGCTCTCTCGTTGTCAATCTCTTGTACGCAGTAAATTCATATACCCAAATGGTCTAATGGTTAGCGCTGTCGACTTTCAGTCTGAAGGTCCTTGGTTCGAATCGCTGTGAACTTGAACTTTTTTTGCAACTTTTTTTTTCACCAATGTTTTTTTACTTGATTCTGGTTCTCCTTTTTCAGAAAATATTTGAAGTCAAATAGGTTAGTGCGTTTAGGATAAACAGTCTCATTTTATTCAATTTTGTTGAAGAACTTAACTTTTGAAATATATTATTAATCAATGTGTTTCTACACTATATTCTGGTTTTCCTTCCTCAAAAATATTGCAATCAGGGATAGGTTAGTTCGTTAAGGATAAATAGTCTCTGAGTTTTGCGTAAGTACTTCGAAGATGAGATATTACGGTGGGCGTGGTTTGTGCTAGCGTACAGTATATTTAGTAAAATCGCACCCGGGATACAACAATCGAAAAATGGGGACATTAGTGAAATATCATGTTTTGGGTCAACTTTTGAGATATATACTGGAGAAATTACTGAACCTACCAGGAAAATTGTCAGAAGTAAAGTTGTAGCGAATCTTTTCAGCTTCAAATTAAACTCAAAACGACGCGATTAAAGCGAATGGTAACTCATAATTTTCAAAAATCTAAAAAACGAAATTATATTTTGACAAGAGTCCATCTGAACCTTTTCCATAACTTGAAATGAGATTATGTTTAGATTGATAACATATCAATGATTATTTAAATATATAGGGGAAATTCACTTCCGTCACCCTTCCCGATGCCTGCGTATTGTTGAATTTATAAACTCAATCAAACTAATAAGAATTATAGGTATTTTCAATTTTGTTACTGACTGTTCATCTTTTATTCTTCAATTTGGCAATAGTTTTTCAGAAACCTCATCTTCCAAATTCTATCATTTGACGTTTTGCTCACCTTCTTTTTTGTACAATAAAATTCTTTCTCAATGTAGATTCAATTGAAAATCGGCACTACTGATTCATTAAGGCCATTGATTCAGAAATGCAATGAAATCGTGTTTATTCAGAGAAATGTGATGAGAATCAAAGTGGAACCTACTACTGTGATCAATTTCAATATTGAAGTAAAGCTCAAAAATCACCTTCAACAGTACTGCCAGGCCGACACTAAATATGTTTAATCCGGCCCCGAATGTTACCCCAAGCGAGAGAGACCGCACTATTCCATCTCAGAATTATATAGCTGCTGGAGTTCTTAATAATAGGTATTTTTTGGCACTGTTGATGCAGTACACTATTGGTTCAATCAAATTTATCCTGACGGTTCAATTTATATGAGTGGATATAATAGATACAGGAAACTACATTTATGACGCCACTAAACAGATGTGATATCTTTATTGTTACGCTGGAACCTGTAGGCGATTGAGCTCACTCTGAGGCATTTTTTGATAGTCATATCCCTGTATAACTTTTGTGATGTAAAATTTGCAAAACATTGATGAATTGAAAATATACACATTTATTCATTCTCTTTCATAAACTTTGATATGATTTTCATTCATAAATAAACAAATACTTACATTCTTTGGGCACTGATTTCTACAACTTTGTATTTCTATCTTCTTATCTTCATCCCGCCAGTCGTTACATGTAACGTATAACTGATTGAGGCCACAATGACATTTTATGCGTATCATATTTTTACATGGAGGACATGTTCCTGGGTGACAGGGTTTCGGACATAAATGTTGACAACCTTCAGGCCTTTCTCTGGTGCAGCTACCCTCGCACGGTTCACAATTAATACCTGACTGTAAATAAAAATGAATAATGACGTGCAAGAGTCGAAACTTCAATAAAATTAATGAAAAATTACGTTCTACAAATCCGCTAAATAATGTATTATTATTGCATATTACATTCAGGTAGAGAGAAAACTTCTATATACAGGGTGTTTCTTAAGTACGTGTCAAAAATTCAGGAGCATGTTGCTGATGTCAAAATATGAAGGAAAGTTCGTATAAACATATGTCCGTAACTTATTCGTTTCTGAGATATAGAGTGTGGAAATTTGATTATTATTTCTGTTTTTTGTGAATATATTCTGAAATAATCATGATATTTGAGTAAAATTTTGATGTTAGTTTGTATCTTTCGTGAGGGTGGCGCCACTTGCATGTCATTTCAGTAATTTGAGATGTTATAACTATTGTGAACGTATCTGTATCACCTTCTCTAGTAGAAAAATTGATTTCTCTAACATTTTTGTGAAAAATAGATATTTTTTTGACAGCGGTAAATATCCAGATGTTTTAAAAGTCTCTAGAGTAGTACCAATCCACAAATCAGGCCCAAAAAACAAAATAGAAAACTATAGACCCATTAGTGTTATAAGTGTCTTATCAAAAATAATTGAAATGATCATCAAAAAAAGAATAACATGTTTCATTGATAAATATATAAAGCCAGACAAATACCAATACGGATTTCAACCCAAAAGTAACACTCAAAGTGCCTCAATTGACTTAATCAATCACATAACAACAGAACTTGACAATAAAAAAATAATAATAACAGTATTTATTGATCTCCAAAAGGCCTTTGATGTTGTAGACCACAGGATACTTTTAAGTAAATGTGAAACAATGGGCTTAAGGGGTAAAATATATGATCTTCTAAACAGTTATCTAGGGAATAGAGAACAATATATCTCGCTAGATAACATATCTAGTGAAATGCTAACAAATAATTGTGGAGTACCTCAAGGTTCTGTTCTGGGACCCTTATTGTACACACTTCATGTTTTAAGCTTAAGGCAGGCACAACTATCTGGAAAATACTATACATTTGCAGATGATACAGTATTGGTATATAGTGGTACAAACACTGAAATTTTAAAGGAGACAGTATATAACGATTTGAATACCTATACACAATGGTTAAAGAAAAATAAACTCAAAATCAATACTAAAAAAACGAAGTACATGTTGTTCCACCAAAAAAATATACTAGTCAAAGAGATTACTATAAACATAAATGGAGAACTGATTAACAAAACTGACAACATAAAATACCTAGGCCTCGTAATAGATGATAAATTGAACTGGCAAAAACATATCGACCACCTCACATCCAAAATTGTGCCGATGATTGGTGCGCTCTTCAGATGTAAGGAATATCTGGACAACCGAAATCGTTTCCTAATTTATAATGCCTACTTCCTCTCAAACCTTAGATACCTAATTATAATCTGGGGAATATGCTCCATCACTAAATTAAAACAAATTCAAATAATTCAAAACAAAATAATAAAAATACTTTTCAACTATCAATATCGTACACCAACAGAAACTATTTACAAAGAAACAAAAATAGTACCTATTAAGAAAATTCTGAAAATGGAGCAAAGCAAGTATATATATAAAGTAAAAACAAACCAACAAAAAAGTAACACTCCATTCAATTATATAAATAATATTCACCACCATGAAACAAGACAGCTGATTAACAATAACCTCTATTTACCAAACGTAAGATCCAACATAGCCTTAAATAATCCAATTAACCGAAGTGTAGAAACATACAATAACATCCCTATAAACATAAGGAATATAGACAATTACAAACATTTCAACGAAGAACTTAAAAGATATATCCTAGATAACCAATGAATTTAACTAACAGAATTTACTTACCACAATACCGCATTTAAAGAAAACTGTACTCCGATACCAGCATTCTCTTTGCTGATTAGGAGTTTTTCATCATCCCTATTATAGATGTATGTACTATTTCAAACTGTGAAAATTGTATTATAATACTATCAAACACTGAGCTACTGTTATATTGTAACTTGTATTTATTTTGGATTGTAAAATTTGTATTTCTTGATTTTTTTTGTACTTTATGTATATTGTAGTGTAATGAAGAGTACTGTGCTAATAAAGTTTGATGATATTAAAAAAAAAAAAGGTCGCTGCGAACAACCGTCTTCGAGTAATTTGGATTTGAATTAATCAATGCATTTGAATCATTTTCGTAGGGCTAGTGAGTCGCCTATAAGTGGTGAATATATTGAAAAAGGTTCACTAATGCATTTTCCTCCTTTCATTGAATGGTCTTCTACATTCAACAATTGAATGTACGCAAAAAAATGATTCTTGATTTTTTTACATAGGTTTTTTGAACCATTTTCCAATTCAAATTTAGTTATTTATGTAACAAGTGTGTAAAGTGGTACTTTTTTATATGATTAGGAGAATATGTTGAAACGAAACTGACGAGGCGCACTTTTTTGACAGTTGTATCTGGGATGCAGTATGATACATTTGCGTTTCAGAATACAAATTATTTTAATCGTCGTTCAACTTAATAACAGAAATAACGTTCCATTTATGTCGAATAAAGTACGATTTCTTTTTATCATATAGGTAAAAAAAATCTTCCCAAATACATGTTGGTGCAACATTGCTCCTCTAATTTTATCCTAAAATTTTCATTTTCATTACTCAAATCATTTTATTCCAAGAAAATCATTCAAATAAACCGAATTAGATAAAATCACGGGTCCGTAGGATTCAAATCAATCGAATTTTTTTGAATTGACTCGGCCGTTACTTGATGGAAATCCATGGCAAATGTAAAAACTTCACAAACGATAAGATTTCCACAAAATTCTCAAACACACGACATGTGTCGCTAACACAGTAACTTCTTCAGGTGATATACTGGTATAATGAACTAAACTAACGTTGGCTTGCTTGACTTTTATATATCCTACTTTCCCAACCTGTAGGATTAGTTACCTGTGGACAGGTACGATAAACCTCCATTTTCGGAAATAAGGCACAATATCTACATTGAAATACGGTCACCTGACGAAGCTACTGTGTTAGCGAAACATGTCGTGTGTTTGAGAATTTTGTGGAAATCTTATCGTTTGTGAAGTTTATACATCAAATCAATCGGTTCGTTTTCATATTTTTGCCAAATATACGTTTTCTAGGAAATTAAAAAAATTAATAACATTTGAAGGACTTGTGGAATTACCTTCGCAGTGGAGGGGAGATATTCGCCCCACTCACATGGAACCTAACCTACCTTCGATTATCACCCTAAATCAACTGTTATTATTATTAGTATCAAATTTCGATAACAGCTGATTCTTATTTCGACATAAAATCAAAGAAGCATAACTTATATTCAGCATAATTTCTATTCGAATTGATTTTGAGATCATTTGGATCGATTATTCCAAATCACTGGAAAACGGTTGTTTGTAGCAATCTTTAAAAATAATATATTTTTTTCAAATATATGTTAGAGAAATCGATTGTTCCACTAGAAAATGTGATAGAGGTAAGTAAAAATATGATGACATTCCAAATGACTAGGATGACATGTAGGTAGCGCCACCCTCACAAAAGAGACAAACCAACATTAAATTTGATTTTGTCATTGTATCAGGGACAAAATTCCATCGATTATCACGATTATTTTGAAATTTATTTATGAAAAAACAGAAATAAAAATCAATACGAACTTGCAACATGCACCTGAATTTTTCAAACGTACTTAAGAAACACCCTGTATGTATCTATAAAACAGAAGAACGCAGATAATAATAATATTTCTTCACAAAGTATATCATAGTAAATAAAATTCTCAACATTTTTGAGAATGTATGATGAATATCTGAATACTGATTTAGCTTTGTATCTCATTTTTTGAATGACTTGAATAATACTTTTTGGAATCTATTCTGAATTTGTGTAAGAATATGAACTATGAAATAAGCTTCACTGCTGCAGTAAAAAACATGCATGCCCATTCGCCCATGGGTAAAATCGAAAAGAACATGATCAATACAGGGTGTCCCATAAGTCATGGGTCAAATGAAGTGGGGTGGTAGGAGGGGTAATTTCCAATAAAACTTACCGTACATGTCGTAATTGTCGATGGTTCAAAAGTTATCAATGTTTTCTCATTTCAATAAAATGAATTAATTACAATAAATGATAGAACCCAATCATTCCAATCAGAAGAAGATGCTCATTTAGATCTAAGTGTTTCGCGAAATAATGAATCAGCAGGAAAGGGCTCATCTTATGTACATTACACTCAGGTAAACTATGAGAGTGACACGAATTCATCAGTTAATATAAAGGATTTCGAAGAAGAAATTTTGCAGTTGAAAGAAACTATCAAACAAAAAGACTTACTGGTAATTGAAAAAGACAATCACATCAAACTTTTAACTGAATTAAACGAACGATTAAATGAGAATTACAATTTGAGAGTATCAAATATGATTGATAAAAATAACATTATGGAATCTCTGGATCAAATTAATAGTAAAATTGAAAATATAAATGAAAAAAAAGAAGAGAAATCACAACATATCAGTTACGCTGATGCAGTTAATCAGAAAAATTTTACCATCACAAGACCTAATAAACAAACATTGATTTTAAAACCAAAATCACGACAATCCTCAGACAAAACTAGAAGAGATCTTGAAACAAATGTAAATGTTGGTAAATTGCGTGTTGGAATAAACTCTTTGAAAGGAATGAATAATGGGAACATGTTGATCAGATGCAAGAAAAGAGAAGATATTGAAAAATTAAAACAGGAAATTTTAGGAAAAATGTCAAGTAAATATGATGCAGAAATTAAGAAATTACAGAAACCGATAATAAAAATACCGAATTTAAAATTAGAAAGCGATTTAACAAAAGAAGAACTCCAGAAAATAATAATAGAACAAAATGCAATTATAAGTGAAGATGACACACTCTCTATTGAGTTT